GGAACCCACACTATAGGCAGAATTCCAGTTGGCCATTAAAACGATTTGGAAGAGAAGAAGACGGTTTTATGAATGGACAAAATTGAGAGATTTTTGAATATTCAGATTCAAATTGATCGTTTTGATTGAAAATCAATCAATTTGCTCTGATATCAATTGTTGATCCCAGATCTCTCAATAATACGAAGATTTAAGTTATGAAGAACCTAAATCTGTCGTATAGATGGATAATAGTGAAAAACAGCTCAAGAATATGTCAGATTCAAATTGATCGTTTCGATTTAAAATCAATCAATTTGCTTAGATACCAATTGTCAATCCCATATCTTTCAATAATACAAAAATTTAAGTTATGAAGAACCTAAATATGTCTTATAGATGGATAATAGTGAAGAACAGCTCAAGATATTCAAGATAATAATGGAGCGTCAAATGATTCACTATTATTGATGAGAATGAATGACCAACGATTACAAGGAATGTAAAAGCTATTTATACTAGTAATCTAATTAAGAAGATAACTATATAGGAAAAGATATCAATAAGATATTAAAGGAAAAGATATCTATCTAGAATTATGGAAATAATATCAATCTCCTTGGCAAAATAGAAATCCAGCTGTCGATGAGTCATCTCTAGCTGTCTTCTAGGAGGCGTGTTCAATCAAGAGTCTTTATTGATCTTCTTGCTTGGATATCTCTGATTGAACCATTGTCGACTTCTCTAAGTGTTGATGACCAGAGGGGTGATGGAGGTGCATTGTTCATTGCACCTATGGATCCTTCATTGCATCTTTGGTTGGCCTGGACACTTAGTATTTCTTCCTGCTTTTCTTCCATCGGCTCTCCGCACTTCCACACTTGTATATTTTTCATTACTTTTACAATAAGAATGATGGAGTCTAACATCACCAATGCCTCTACCTCCATAACCATTGTTTTTTCAACAATCTTCATCGTGCCCTCCGCCAACTGATAAGGATATTTCAAACCGAATAAAACATAATTTCTTCTTTGTATGAATCGGGTTTTTTCAAACTACCATCAATTATATCAAACATTTTATTCAATTTTCGTACTATTATAGTATTATATATGCATGTATTTATATATATATATATATATATGAAAATTGTATAAAAAATGTTTATAAATTAAATTACTTAATTATTTATTTTATTTGTGTTAATTATAACTTTTTATATATATATATATATATATATATATATATATATATGTAGAGAGATAGAGAAAGAGAGAGCTTGGTTCAAATGTTAACCAAGATTATTGTGTTAACTTTATTAACTAAGCTCAACCAATGAAAATCCATCTTTTATCTAGGTTCATATCCATCTCATAATTTAATGACAAGGGTAAATTTGTAATTTTATTTTGTATGTAACTCTCATATCATTAATTAGGAGTTACAAAATTAAAAAAAAATCTCATAATTGTTGTTGATTTACTATTGATCTTGTTTTTCAATAATATTGATTTATTTATCTATAATGTTCTTGAATTTGTGTTTGTTAAAGGAAATTCGATAATAAAGTTTTTGATATCGTTCAAGCTATTGTTCACAAGTGTTCATATTGTGTTTGTATGTACACTAGTTGCATATCTCAACATTGACTCGCTTCTGAATGTGTTCATAATGAATGAACTATTGTTCACAAGTGTTCATATTGTGTTCATATGTACACTAGCTGCATATCTCAATATTGRCTCGCTCCTGAATGTGTTCATAATGAAAGAACTATTGTTCACAAGCTGTTCATATTGTATTCATACCTGTTTTTTTATTTATTTCCTTTCGTGTAGCAACAATTCTTACTATGTTTATATTGAGTTCATAAATGTTATGCAATCAAAGTTCATATATATGTTAACTTTTGTTCGTATTTGACACAATGGTTCATGTATATATATATATATATATGTGTGTGTGTGTGTGTGTGTGTGTGTGTATGTGTGAGTGTGAGTGTGAGTGTGTGTGTGTGTGTGTGTGTTCATATGGTTTTTACATTAACTAAAATATGAGATTAGTTGATTTTGTAACTCCCAATTAATGATATGGGAGTTACATAAAACAGAAAATTACCTAAATACCTCTTTTCCCTTTGTTCGCATATGTTTTTTGAAATTGTAAATTTAAAAAATCATGATTAATCACAACCGTTTATTGTAAGAATCAATGGCCAAGACTGGTGAACAAAGTTAACACAATAATCTTGTTTAACATTTGAACCAGCCCTTATATATATATATATATATATATATATATATATATAGAAGAGTGATCATATGAAAACCGCCCTCATTTGTGTAAACCGTGCAAATCACCTTCATCTGTCGATTTCATTGTTTAATCTTATGAAATTTTTTCATGAAATTGTTTAATCTTGTGAAATTGTTTCATATAATACTTTTTTTGATAAAGTTGTTTC